GCTGGTTGGCGGGCGTGGGAAAGGGCGCTTTTGTGCGCAGGGGGCTCTGTAAGTGAAACCGGAGGCTTAGCGGGGGGCGTCCTGGTGGCTTAAGCGAAGTCGTCGTGCATCACCTGGCAACTCTTACACACCTCGGAGATCTTGGCCGTTTTCCCTATTGGTGCTGCCGTGGGAAGGGGGTTACAGGCGGGGCGTTGGTCCCTTAACGCAAAGAATCTGCTTTATCTAGCCTCTGTTCGGTGACAAATATTTCCTTTTGGGAATAACACAGTTTAAGTTAATGGTAGTGTTCCCGTGGATGCAGATTTCCAAAATCTGACCTCCTACGTGTTGGGAAGCACAAACACTTAGAGCAAAATATAAATTATTTTAATGAAAGACCCGTCCAATATTTGTCAAGTGTAATGGCAATTGTTGTGGTGTGACTAGCTGTTGTTACTTACTGTATGCACAGTTCAAATGAGACTAAAAATAGAATTGTCTCCATAGGGTTATTTCATAATATACTTTGTCCTTTGATAATTATTGTTCATAATTTTTAAGAATGGCACATTGTAGCTTATTTCACTTAATACCTGATGATTTTCCTTTTGGAGATGAGGGAATTAAGGCGCAAACAGCCAGGCCCCAGGACATTGGGAAGGGAGAAGCATTGCTCAAAGGCAGTCCTGGAAACCTCCTTGGGCTTTGCCTTTTATTTAGTCCTTTGCAATAATGATGTCAAGCCCACCCAGCCCTGGACAGCAGAGATTAATCTCACAGGGCCTACCAGAGGCTCCAGCCTCTCCGTGTTGCTTTCCAACCCGTTTAACCAGCTGGATCCCCTATAACGCAGCACTCGCAGCAGCCGCGCTGCTGAGGGAGCATGGAGCAAAGTTGCAGAGAGCGTTTGTGATTATTCAGACCCTCCTGAGAACTTCTTCCATGACAGCCTCTGCTTCCCCAAGTGGTTTGCTGTTTGGCTCCTCTCTGATGCATGATCTTAGCAAGTCACCACTACCTTTCTGGTGACGTAATAAGCAGGAGGAAGTTGAAGCTGTAAATTACAAATGTAAGTTCTTCTATTCGGCACCTGCTCAATATAGATGACGGGTCTTAGGCAGGCTTGAGAGAGAGCAAGCAAAACTGTTTGGAAAGTTGCTAAGTACTTCTCACCCATAGAAACCATTCTGCGAAGGCAAGCTTTAACAGTTTTTTAATAAAAAAAAAAGTGCAGCATGTTTACTGCAACGTGTTTCAATGCTTTTTCATAGAAGCACGGTATCCACTGCTCTCTTTTTCAAATGTAACTAGATTTCATCAGGACAAGGAAGCATTTCATGAAAATTAACATAATTGTCAATTGCCCAACTATGCCGAACAGAGAGGCAGTGAAACCTTTTGACATCCACGCCCTCTTCTCAGGCTCCTTGTGCCCTCACCATGGTCACCTGGCTGGACAGCAGCAGCTGGGGAGTATTGGCCTCTCTTGGCTTTTTTTACTGCCTGCTTGCAGAGAAGCGCCCTTGACCTGCCCTCGATGCGGCTCTGGTCCCATGTTGTGTGGCATATGCCTTGCGTATTTGTCCTGCCTTGTGGTCGTGCCAGTTATTCAGATGCAGTGACAGTGGAAATGCAAGTGTGTGTGTGGGGTCTGTTCCCAGTTTAGTGGGAGGTGGATAGGCTCCAACTACAGCAAAACCCGGCATGCAGCAGATGATAGGTTTATAAACGAGAGAACTGATGCCATGCTGCTCAGCGCTGCCGCTCCCGGGCCGGATCCCCCCCGTATGCCACTGGCAGACGCGGGCGGTGGTGCCGTGAGCGGACCACCCCTATGGAGAAAGAGCCTCTGTGGGAAACAGAGCCGGTCTTCTCCTCCACGTCTTCTTGCCTGGCAGCGGCGTACAGAAAGGAAGCGGGGTTTGGTTTGGACCTCCGCAGCGTGCTGACTGCCAGCTGTAATTTCTGCTCACTGCGGCCAGTGTTGTTTAGAGTGGTTGAAAAGTGTCTTCAAGGATCAGCTCCTCTACCGAAGCTGCTGCAGCTGAGGGAGATGGGAATATGAGCATTAAGGTGCATTTATGCTTAGATATACCCTGCCTGTACTGTACCCTGCAAGTCAGCAGGAGCTGGTGGAGAGCCCAGGAGAGCAGGGCAGCGGGCGCTGCGGGCCCTGCGTGGCCAGGCTCCTCCTGCGGGCTGCGGGGCCCCCCAAGCCCACCTCTCCCTCCCGTCTGTAGCGGCACACAGTCGCACCCAGGCAGCGGCTTACGACCGGCAGAGTAATTCTTGCTACAAACAGCGTTTGTGTGCTTGCCTCTTGTCTCGCTTCAGGCCCCCTGCCGCCGCCGCCGCCTCCTCTCAG